TATGATCCATCCACCACCACCCTCTGAGTGCGACCCTTCAGCCAATCTGTAATCCATCTGACTGTGTAGGCATCTATGCCACAGTCGCCTAGTTTATTAATTAGGATTGGGTGAGAGACGGTGTCAAAGGCCTTGCTGAAGTCCAGAAAGACTACATCCACCGCGACACCTGCGTCCATGGCCTTTGTGACCTGATCATAAAAGGCAATCAGGTTGGTCTGACATGATCTCCCCCTAATAAATCCATGCTGATTGCCCCTGAGCATCATTTCTGATGCCGGCCCATCACAAATGTGCTCCTTGATGATCTTCTCAAAGAGTTTCCCCAGGATTGAGGTAAGACTGACGGGCCTATAGTTGCCCGGGTCCTCCCTTTTCCCTTTCTTGAAGATGGGGACCATATTAGCTACCTTCCAATCATCTGGCACCTGGCCCAACCACCACGATCGCTTGTAGAGCCGTGCCAGGGGCCCTGCAATAACCCCAGCTAGCTCCCTCAGCACCCTGGGGTGGAGAGCATCCGGACCCGCTGACTTGAACGCGTCCAGCCCCTCCAGAAGCTCTCTAACCCGGTCCTCCCCAACCTGAGGTCTGAAGGCGATCCCCTCGTGTCCGGCTTCTATCACAGCAGGGAAGTCCCTGTTTTAAGCCAGAGTTCACATCTTTTCCTTCTCAACTACCAGATTTTCTATTGCTCCCAACAAGGAGGCACCCAGAACAGAAGTTTGTGGGATTTATGTAGACAAAAGTGCAGTATGATTTAAAGTCAATAAATGGAACCATGTTGCATTAACAATCACTTCAGTGAAGGAAGAAAAAGGAAAACTATTGTGGATTTTTGGTACTAGCGAACGCAGTCATGACTATTTTGTATATACTGTATGCTAACAGAATACTGCAGTAAATTCTGGCACCCAGAACAGGCATATGGCTTGGAATTTCAAGCTCTTATTGCAAGTGTAGTAAAGATCACTAACCAAATCTGTCTGATCCAATTTCAAAAATTACATCATTTCATATAATGATTTACTGGGGTATTTGCCACCTATCAGGCAAATAGATTTTTTAATGAAATGGTTCCATACAAATTTTTTTAAATGTCAACTTGTCAAGATGTGCAACAATGAAACTATATCAACTAATTAAACCTCAAATTCAATATTCAGAATGCCTAGATTTAAGTCTTTAGTATTATGAAATCTCCTCAAGTAACTTGCATAGCCCATAACAGGCTTCCTATTTAAAATACAGCCATGTCTGGCAAACCCACCCAATACAGCATAACGGAAAAGCACAGCAGTGTTGCTAACTAGCTGCGACTTACCCATGACACATTTTTCTCAGGTTTCCCTGGGACAAATAGTATATCACTTAAATCCAGAAATACTGCAGAAAACAAGCAAAACCAACTTTTTTGAAAGCCAGTAGTATAACTGAAATTAACAGACTCATGCAGTTTCAATTACTAGGTTTTTTGCTACCCCACAATTTTAGTAAAAAAAAGCACGAGCACTAGGCCTGTGCAAGTAGGCAGCTATTTGATTCGGCTTCAGATGCCAGCAATCCGATCTGGAGCTGCGGACCGGGTTCCCGCTTTGGCCACATTGAAGCGGGAACCTGGTCCACAGCTGTATTGGGTGGGTTTGCCAGACATGGCTGTATTTTAAATAGGAAGCCTGTTATGGGCTATGCAAGTTACTTGAGGAGATTTCTAATCAGTTTTAATTAAAACCAGATTTTTAATAACAAGCTCACTTTTAAGCCAGAGTTCTCACCTTTTCCTTCTCAACTACCAGTTTTAAGCCAAGGGCTTCAGAGATCCAGCCATAGGGTATAATGGGGAATCAATGAAATATCTATAACTTTGTTTTTTGTCTGATTTGAATGAGACATGCAGGGGTGGTAGCCTCTGTTGAGTGCATGAAGCCTGCCAAGTTTCAAGAAGATCAATGCTGGGGTTTCTGGGAAACTGCAACCCAAATTCTTGAAAGCAAAACTCATGCCACGTGTACATGTTAAGCCACAGCGGGGTCAAAACTGCAGGGGTGGTAGGACCTGGTGAGGTCACAAAGACTGCCAAGTTTCAAGAAGATCAATGCTGGGGTTTCTGGGAAACTGCAACCCAAATTCTTGAAAGCAAAACTCATGCCACGTGTACATGTTAAGCCACAGCGGGGTCAAAACTGCAGGGGTGGTGGCCCCTGCTCAGGCCATGAAGCCTGCCAAGTTTCAAGTAGGTAAGTGCAGGGGCTTGGGGGAAACTGCACATCAAGCTGCGGACAAGCGAAACTCGTGACATGGGTGACACTGTGCGTGTTAAGGCACAGCAGGATGAAAGCTGCAGGGATGGTAGCCACTGCTGCGGCCACAAAGCCTGCCAGGTGTCAAGGAGATAGGTGCAGGGCTTTTGGGTTCTGGGGTCTTGCACCTCTAGCTGCTGACAGGCAAAACTCGTGACATGACTGCTTGTACACGTTAACACACACAGGGTCATCTGTCATGAGTTTTGCCTGTCAGCAGCTTGAGGTGCAGTTCCCCCCAAACCCCTGCACTTATCACCTTGAAACTTGGCAGGCTTTGTGGCCTCAGCAGGTGCTACCATCCCTGTGGTATAACACATACACATGACATGAGCTTTGCTTTCAGGAAATTGTGGTGCAGTTCCCCCCAAACCCCTGCACCGATCTTCTTGAAACGTGGCAGGCTTCATGCACTGAAGGGCTACCACCCCCGCAAGTCTCATCCAAATCAAACAAAAAACAACAAAGTTATAGATATTTCATTGACTCCCCATTATACCCTATGGCCAGATCTCCGAGGAGGCTCCCAAGTGGTTCAGAAGCTCCGAACCGCTTTGAGAAGCCTAACGAAGCCTGTGCTTCGATCCAAACATGCTGCTTTGGACGCCGAAGCGTCCAAAGCTTCTCTGGATCCAAAGCATGGTCCGAAGCCTTGCACAGCCCTAATGAGTACAAGAGTTTCTTTGTGTTATGCTAACAAGGAAACAATGTAGTGAAAAATGCTACTTGGTCTGGTAGACAAGGTTCTTTGGGTAAATCTGATACCTTTTATTAGATCAACTAAATAGTTGGAAAAATTACAAAAAAAAGCCAACAACCATAGGAAACAGATTCTAGACACCCAGAGGACCCTGACTTAAGCAAATAATATTTCTGTGATGAAGAAACTTAGACAGGGAAATATATGGAGGGTTTAGTATTTTGGTCCAGATCTGTATTGTCTTAGGCTTATAAAGTAAAAAAAAAAAAAAAAAAAAAAAGTATCGCTGATCTAAAACTCGGTGTAAAGAGCATCTGTGTCAAAACTGTGTATGTGTATATGACAGTTGGTACACCTACACGGATGCTCTACTAAGGAGTTGACTAATTACCTCTGCAGTAAAGCATCGCCATCTACACATGTGGCACTATTAGGCTGCAGTAAACTAGTTAACTCTGCCATAGGACAGTACTGCCCAGAATCAGTATTATCCTAGAGCGGAGTACATATATGTGCTCAAAAGCACATATAGATGGTGAAGGAGACTGGCTAGGGCATGAGGGTGCTACAGTGTGGGGGCTGCCTGCTAGTTAGCCCTGCACTGTAGCACCTTCATGCCCCAGCCAGCCCCTATGCAGCACATTAAGCCAGGATGGGGCAACTCCAGCTCAATAGGCTGTGGTCCCAGCTGTACATGTAAATGCTGCACCTTGGAGCAATAAACTCTAGTGCAAACTGCACCAGAGTTTTTTCAGGAGCATTAATAGCAAGTGTAGATGTGCCCACTGTGTACTAAAAACAGGGGCTGTAACCTCTGAAAGATAATGCCTCTCTGAAGAAGAAAGATGATACCCTGTCCTGGCTTCTTCCTAATATCAGACTAACATAGCTAACTACTCTGGTGTCTCTAATGGAGTAAAGCATTGATCAATGCCCCATACCTTTAGTGGGGTTCTGGAAAAACTGAAAATTGTGTGGGAATACTGGGTGGCATCAGTTTCAGTAGCTAGACAACTAGATTGGGGAATCCTCATTATCAAGAGGACTGTCAGATACGAGATCACTACGCAGAATGTACGCCTAAGCTCCAAACTAAAGGCACTGAGGTCCTAGTATGGAACCCATCATAACAGTCTGACAAGTCTCCAGCACGGGAGCTTGACTAGTTTATATTTCATATGAGACCTTAAGAAAAGAAGGTCCTGCTGGCATGCATCTTTGCATCATCTGCAAAAATTATTCCTATACATAATACCTGGAGTAGAAACAGAAGGACATATTGTGCCCAAAAGCTTGTCCAAAATTTTTCCCAACTATACAGATGGTTCAATAAAAAGTATTAAAAAAAACCCTTGCATTTCATTTTCACCTGCTAGTATTCCAAGGAGGTCCTTCATATTTCCATCTCTCTCAGCTCTTCTTATAGTATCAGCACTGCCTCAGAAAAACAAAAGATATGTTTGACCAAGCTCATGACCTTACTTAGGCATTCATGATGCTTTATTAATTTTACTTTCACAGCTCTGTTAACTCTTGCTTGCCAAGAGTTGAATTTGCCTAACATTTTCAATACTGCTCTTCACCTCATGTTTCCAAGTTAACTGACAAATACAACCTACATCTTACAGAAACTTTGAGAGGGATTCTACTATAAAAGTGGAAATAGTAAAATGCGGTCTTGCAACTTACTCTGACTCTCCCTTTATTCTCTACAGAGCTGAAATGCAACAAGTAGGGTAGAAAAAATGAGCTCTCAGATATGGAAGGACCAGGGAGCAAAAGCTATACTATTTCTGAGATAGAAGCAAGAGCAGCAAAGCAAGAAAAAGAAAAAAGCAATGAGGTCAAGCATAAAAAGGATTGTTGTTTATAAAGTGTTGATTCCCATGTTCTTTCAACAACCTGGAAAACATTTCACATATTATCATTTCTCGTATTTTTGTGACTCTTCTGGGATGTTACAACAAAGACTCAATGAAGGAAAAGCAAACACTGTTCACCTTATTTTTGACATGTAATTATATTCTATTGCTGTGCAGCTTGTGTGTCCATCAGTCATCTGCAAACGCAGCATTCTGGGAGCAGCCTGAGATTCTTCATTGTCCTTTGGTGCAGCAACATTACGTATTTTTTGTATCTGGAGAACACAAGGCCCTTCCAGCTGTAAATGCAAAATAGAAAAAAAAAAAGTAAAAACCTAAGAAACTCAAAACATTTTTCACTGCTAACAATATGTAGCAAAATCACAACGTTATCTAGGTTTAACTGAAACATACAGGCAGAGCACAGGCTAATTTGATTAAACAATCATTTTTAGTTTAGTTGTTTCTATTCGTGTTTTGTCACTCTCAGATAGTCACAGACCAGACACTCACATATGAAAATTCTGCACCACCAATTACTAACACCAGACTACAGCAGAAATAGCAGCTGGCTTTGCAGGCCACCTGGCTTTAATGGGACTGTGTTTCAACTACATCTGTCCCTTAAGGACTTGGCAAGGATCACAGCATCTTTAAGATGTAAAACATAATTGTAATGTCCTCCATGAGTCATCCTGAACTTTAGTTAACTAAAGTAACAGTAAATCTACATTCCAATGTGTTCTACAGGCAAAAACAAATTAATTAATCTTACAACTGAGATATAATTTACAAAAATGCCCTTTCTGGAATTCCTCCAATCTGTAGGGAAGCAGAAAAAATGCTCAATTCTACCTGAAAAACAAGGACCCTCTGCAGCTATATTATGGTTTCTAGCTCTCAAGAGACGGAAGGAAGTGCATCTCTCTCAGCAGGAGTTACCACTTGTTTATTCTCCCCAGTATACTACCAGAGACCTGCACATAAATGGATGGGAAAGCTGAGAAATCAGTTTGAAAAAAAAGGATGGTTTAGAAACACAGAAAGGGATCAATTTGAAAAATTGTGAACATCTCCAAGGCAAGATGAGGGGCAAAAAAAACCAAAAAACAAAAAACAAAAAAAAAAAGTAATTACAGGACCAAGCTATCAAAAATGAAACTGAGGATGTGAAATAGATGAGGAAGACGACTAACATGTTCTTTAGTGTGAAGGTTAGTGTGAAAATGGAAGGATGTTATTAAGGATAAGAATATCATAAAGAAAAGGAGACAAAATAATTCTGGGAAATAAAAGAAAGACAGACAAAGGAGCTGATGATGGAGAAAAGGAAAAAACAGACACTAATAAAGAACAAAACCGTAGTTGTACTCCCTAAGAACCCATTCTCAGAGGTAATGAAGCACAATAAACAGGAGCACAGGAGGGAGATTCTTACTGAAACGTGGTATTTTGACGATGTTATGAGCAGTTTCTTTCAAAATTAAAATGAAACTTCCTCCTACATGCCTATGGGCATTCTCCTTGGATTTTAAATTGTCCTCTTCGTAAATATCAACACTGCACTCAGATTTGTGTGTATTCTTACATCAATAACTAGAAACAAAAAAACAAAAGGGAAATGGAAAAAATGGGGAATTTTCAGTGGTATCTTTTTATTCTTTGAAGTTATGAAAATATTTAAAGATTTTATGGAACGGGGACCTGTTAGGGGATCTGAGTGTATGTACCAAATACATTTTATTTTTAATTGGTACTTTTTGACAAAACACAAAGAGCTACTTAATGCTTACCTGAAGATGTCCTTAAACTTAAACTTCCCATCGTTAAGACTAATACGGCTTACATATCTTGGACCAGTTCTTTGAAATACAGATGCACTATGTAAATGAAAGGCATTTGTTCAGTGACTTGGAAGGCATCATCACATATTATGCTGGACCACTATAAAACCAACAAATGTAGGTTCTAGTCTTAGGCCTGAGAGTTCTTTATGATCTAAAGCACCTTTTTCAAGTGAAGGTTCAGTGAGAGTGGAGACCGGACTAAACAAGAATGCATATACATACATACAGGTAAGGCAAATGAAGTTGTTAGTATGAATACTGAAAACTGGTCACTTAAAATAAGGTAGGGATTAAAGAAGAAAGATGGCCTGGAAGCACAAGACTGCAGTAAGAAGATCTAGGTTCTCAGCTTAATCTTAAAATGGATTTTTATTAAGGGATACTAGGCAAGCCACTTCTGCACTACTTTGAAGAGTGGCTAAGAGACAGCAGCTCTTACTAATTGAAACTTATGTAACTCAGACCCACTGACTAAGCCCCAGTTCTTTCTCTATTTAAAGGAGAGAATATTACTACCTTTTATCTAAAGGGCCACAAGGCTTAACTCTACTTTTCCCAGGGCTTTGAGACTTTGGGATTTAAGGTACTATACCCGGACCATTTTAAGCCTATAAGACACATTCTCTGGAACAAAGGATGTTTTATTTACTTGTCTCAGTGCCATAATACAAATAAGAAATCATGCTGTTTCAGAGAAAGACACTGAAATCTGACCACTAGGTTTCTGCAAATTATAGAAATAGCAGTTAAAAAAAAGAAAATGTTCATTTCTAAAAAGCCATTAAAGAAATAAACTAGATGAAAATGTCTTATATTGAAAAGTTTGAGGCTTCATCTGAAGATTACTAACTACATTTTCCTGAAGTTAAACTAGAAAAGACAAAACCTGCATGATCACATTACACCTTGGTACATAAAGTAATATTAATGCAAAAATGAAAAACAGCATGCATCTGCTAGTTTATTTTTCCAAGGAAGCTATTTTAAAACATGATCTTCTACCTAGTCCTGAAACTAGTGAATCTAATCTGTTTAGAAATAAAAAACAATGTATTTTCAACTACAATAACAGTAGCCCATCTATAATCACTTTCTTTTGTAGTTCTCTACATGATTATAGAATCAAAGAAACAAAGGAAGTATTTAAAGGAACTATTAGTTCAACCTTCAACACTGAGGCCAGATCAACTATACTTAATCTATCCCTGAGAAACGGTTTTTAAGTACACATCTGTACTTGAAGACAACCAGTGAAGAAGATCCTACAACATGCTCAGATAACTTTTTCCAGTGTTTCCCCACTCAATATTAAGAAAGTTTGTCCTAAGCCACACACACACACACACACACACACACACACACACACACACACACACACATATATATATACACAGTGTTTATGGTATGTGTGTGTATAGATATGTATATATGCATGTATTATATGTATACCTAAATTTGTGTACGCACGCACACACAAAGGACTTATTACATTCCTCGACCTCGTGTTTTCTAAACAAACCAAATGTCTTCCAGTTTTTCTCATAAGCAGCTTTCTAAATCACTTATCCTTGAGGCTCTCCTCTAGATTATCTACTTGTCTATCACTTACTTAAAGTATGATCCCCAAAACTAGAAGCAATATATAAGCTGAAGTGTCACCAGCACCAACCAAAGTGAAATAATTACAGAAAATACTTGGTAATACATCTCAGAATAAGTTCATCTTTCTGGCAGTCATGTCATATTAATATATATTTAGTTTTTGATCTCCTATAACTCCCATAACCCCAAGATCTTTTACTGCTGCACTACTGAGTAGCCAATTACTATCCATACTGTAGTGCTTCCCAAGTATAGTACTTTCACTTATCTACTGAATTCCATCTTATTGAATTCAAATCACATCTTCAGTTTATCAAAGTAATTTTGAATTCTGATCCTTTCTTCCTTTCCTCGCATCACCTCCCAGCATGGTGTAATGTGCAGATACTTTAAGCATATTCTGTATTCCAAGTCATCAATAAAAACATTTAACAGAAATGGGTTCAGAACAAACTCTTCTGGATCTCCTTGAAATACCCTCCAAGTTTGACAAAGAAGCACCTGGAACTACTCATTAAGAATGACTTTTCAACCAGTTGGTGGTCAAAACCAAGACCATATCTCCTGTACTTGCTTATGTCACAAAGGACAGTATCAAAAAACCTTACTAAAAATCAAGCTACTCATAAACCATACCTACTGCTTTCCTTTCATCCACTAAGCCAGTTAGTGTTAACTCAGAATAATACAGGACTCTTAGAAATACAATTACTGCCACAGTGAATGAATGTCCACACTACTTCAAAGTTTTAGAAGATATAGCTAAAACTTTAATTTTTCTTTATACTATACAAATAAAACATCATTACTGTACACTGGTTTAGAGTTAGAATTATTAAGCTAACATATTGCTGAATTTACTTTCTCTTTTGTATGTATTTGTTTAATATGAAAGAGAATTTATTCTCTGCTCTTTATCATATTCAAAAATACAATTATATAAGCATACAACAATACTAACCCCCTGCACTCAATTAGCACATATAATCATCCAACAGTCTGGAAACATATTTAATGTATATATGATCTTGTGGAGTCATTCACACAAACCTATAGCAAATAAGTGGCACTTTCAGTAATTCCTGAAGGTCAATCAACTAGAACTATTTTAGGCCATTAAAAAAAATGGAAATTCCCATTACATCAAACAAGTACTAGATTATCAAAGCACGTGTATACTGCTTTTTATTTCTCACTGACAATAACACAACATTTGAATTTTAGAGAGAGAAAGGCATTAACACTACCCCTGGCATAGAATGATAGGTGCTGACCTTCTAGCCAGGTAGCAAAAATAAAATGTATAAAAATGTGGCAAATTAGCAAGTTACGCAGTAAAGCAACATTTAGAAAAAGGTAGCTAAAACTAAACACCAGAAAAACTCAAGTAATTGAGAGTTGCACAAATGGATGGGAAGATGCAATGAAGGTAAGGAAAAGAAATGCCCTAAACCAGGTAACTGATATTTACATATATAGTATCAACACTGAATAAAAAAAGGCAACTGTGAGGTAGGCATGAGAGGGGATTAATATGTGATACAAGAAATGGAAAACATGTTTATAATAAAAATATACCAAGAAAACTGAAAACATAGATCAACCTGACAGTGGTGAGACTGGTATGAAGAGGAACTCAAATGAACTAAGATAAAGATGCTATGGTTTCACTGAGGCTATAAACAGAGATCAAATGCAAGGCAGTCCTGGCTGTCCCAGGTTTTGACCCCAATCAAAACAGGAATGGCACAACCATCTACACATCACCCTTCAAGCAGCACTGCTGTTACTCTGACAGCAGATGGCCCACAAGAACACAAAGCCCAACAGGTCTGCCCCCTGGATTGACC